AAGGAAAAGCTGCAGGGGGCACTTCCAGCATGATTTACGGTGATCCCTAACTATAAGTTCACTTTTAAAAATGATTGTACATCCACCACACAGAGTCAAATTCTTGTACTGACTTTTTGATCCCCCAAAAGTAGCCCCATTGAAAGCAGCTGGGCTATCTCTGTGTTCAGCAGCTATTTAACATAAGCAAAGGTATCCTATTGGTTGTGTAAATTTAGAAGCGAATTAAAAAAAAGAAATTGGAGATGGCTAGTACTAGTATTCCCAGCTTACAGATACAAGCTGCATTCTTCAAAGCTTAAACACTTACTGCTCTAAAAAAGAATGAAATCCTGATGCCACTGAAGTCAATGCAAGTTTTGCCTCCGGTAAGGCCAAATAGGAAGGGCCCTATTCCCTCCAGCAGCGCCTGGGGAGATGAGGAACAATGGCCAGAAGCTGCTGGAGCATCTCCGTGCAGCTCGTCTATCCTCAAGGAGGGGCTGCAGCTGCTGCCTACCTTTGGCAGTCCAGACGCAGGAGGTGGCAGCAAATGGGCAGAAGTTGCTGCTAGGTGCCAAGAAAAAGCAGGACTTGGCAGTGGGCACAGCCACCTCCCCTCACCGCTGCAGCCGCCTGGAACCCGCGTCAGATCTGTACTGTAGCTCCTCCCCACCGCCACCACCAGCGTCACCTCCGGGCCTGCCCACACCATTCCTCCCTCCCCACCCAAACTGTCCCTGAATACCCCAATCCACTAAGTCCCGGCACTGTCCACACCTTACACCAGCTCCTGCCACGCGCCGGAAGCAGCGTCAGGTGGGCACTGGCATTAGCTGTGGATGCTGCCAGCAGGTTCCAGGTGGCTGCAGCAGCGAGAGGGAGGTGGCCTGCCCAGCAGGACGCAGGTGTGTGTTGGAAGCTGGTGTAAGCTCCGGATGGGGCCGGGACATGGGAGCCCGCCCACCAGCAGCTGGAGCCGCCAGCTCCCCACGGGCTGGATCCCATGATTTTGCAGCCACTCGCCTATAATCAGTTGGTGGGCCATGTTTTGCCCACCCTGCACCATGTTGTACATGATGCTTTATTTCACAACTCAAAAGGGTTATTTTTATGCATCCATGAATACTGAAGGTTACAGGCAGCACAGG